TGTTGAGTTCGTAGAGGAACGGGAAACACAAAGAGGGCGGAAAGCATCGAACATGGCGAGTTGAGCTCGGCCATTCAGCAGGGCCTAGAAAAGTGGCTCTGAACAGGGCAAGCCCCCGCAAAACTGAGAAGCGACAAGCGGCCGAGGAGTCAAGACAGTTCCATGTATCCGTGTCTGTATCTGTAGCGTACGGAGTAGTCAACTTCGTCTTGTAGTCTTGCTGGCGGCCGAGGCTCTTGAGGATTTTCAGTGCTGACACCAAATATTGGATGCTTGTCGATCATATTGACAGGCGTAGGATGCAGTGTGACGCTCTGTGACGATGGGTAAGAATGCATCCGTCGCTCGACGACAATCAAAAAGGACAACCGAAGCAGCGGTGGCCGATTATTGACGCAATAGACATTACGTGAATGGAGGGGTTGAGGGAAGCAAGGCTTACGTAGTCCCATGCATGGCATCATGTGGAAATTAGAGGAAGAAGATGCCCGCAGCTAGCAACCAGCAGCAAGCAACCAGGTCCATGGGCAACGTTGAGAGGAAGGTCGAGGAAAGGCGGCCGACACGACGGCGGGGGATTGAAGTCAAAACGGAAGGCGGTTCCAACGTCGTGGATGAGCCGCTAGGACCCAGCGGGCCAGATGTGATTGTTCCCGCCATTGCCATTGGCAATGCGACAGGAGTGGATGAGAGGTGGATTTGAGAAGCGTGGCATGGAGGTCATGTGATGCCAACCGAGACAAGCCACGATCCAGGGCAAGAGCAATGGTGTTTACATCCTGAGGCCAGAAAGGTAGTTCCCTCTGACAAAGTACCTTGAGCGACGAGGCAATCGGTGTTTGTACATATGAATCTTCTTCCCTGGGCGCGGGATGGAAGGAATAAAGGTGAGATTCTCAGTTCTTTCCCACTGAGCTGAAGTTAGAGACGGGACATCACGGCATGAGGCAGGTGCGCCGAGTTAGGTAAGAAGGCGCTGGGAGACATTTTGGAGCCTCTTCTTTCCACGTTGATGACTTGGACTGCGGGCAGGACTTAAGGTACCTTAGAACTAAGGGAAGTTGCTCCAGATATTCAGGCTTGCCCAATTGGAATTCGTACTATTCGCTGCCGCTGCGCCCTTGCTTCCTTCCATCCCGTTCTTCAAGCACTTGTCCGTACTCCGTAAGATAGTTCGTGCTTAAGGTACCTTACTACGGATACCCCATGAGCAAGAACGCGGGTGGCACCAGGGGGTCTCGGTCGACGGTCAAAGCTGATGTGCGCTGCGTTCGCCTTGCCTTGTCATACCCAAGATTGTTGGAGACAGGAGTTGGTGTTCCTTCGGTGTTCAAGACTCCAAGTATTTTGGAATTGAGATAGACCTGTTGGGGCCTGACCGGTCTGGAAAGTGTGGTGTTGCGCTGGCAATCGGTCTAGGAAGACATTGATCAAATGATGCTCGCTACCGTACCTTAGGTACCCAAGGTAAAGTAGAATGGCGAAGAAACCCGGCCATCTGGACTCCCCTTGTTGTCTCCCTGCGACTGCCAAAACACACAATTTTCAATCCGGGCAGCATGCAGCTTTCAACTTTGGGATGCCACCGCCAACATGGCACGCCGCGCACCAGCCTGAATGAAGGTTGTGTGGGTTTCGCCTGCCAGGCCTGTCAAGGAAGGAAGCTTTGACGTTGAGTTTCCCGTCCTTGCCCAAGTAGGCGCTTTGCAGAAGGTGGAACTTTACCTCACCCTAAGGTAAGCAAGCTAACGCCCGAGGCTACTTCGCAACTCCAGTCCGAAAGCTGCAACATCCACACCAATCACTCCAGCCCGGCAATCCTAGTGTAAAGCCTGGAGCCTGAATGCAATGTGAGCGTCGGCAACGAACAAGGCAGCGTCCGCGGTCGACGTTCGCTTCGGCACGGCAGCTTCAACTCCATACCAAACGCCGTCATCTTGGCCACCTTAGCTTCAATACCGCTTACTACTACCTTCCTTGCCTTGCCTTACCTACACACACGTGTCGATGCCTTGCCACTGTTCACAGGAAGAGAAAAGAAGACAACAACTCATGCCTGGAGTAATAGTGGCGTCTGTCCCGGCCACTTGTCATCTCTTGTCTCTATCTGCCTCTGGCGCGCTTCTTTCCTCACTGCTCCATCACGGCGTATCCGTACACTACTCCATACTCTACCCTACTGCCCAAGGTAAGCTGCCTTCATCCACACCTTCTCCGTTTTCCAGAAGCTCCGCGTTGCATGGTGGGCTGACTTTGACATGGTCCACAGTCTGTGGCCCACGGTAGGCTAATCACCCTGGCTTCAAACGGCGGCCCAGACCCCGGCTCGCCAACTCGGAAAGACAACCTATTTGTTTGCGCCAGGGCCTTGAAGCCGTTTCTGTAAGCCACGACAGCTGTTTCGCAATGGATCATTGCCCCGTTTCTCGCAGCACTATCTCGGGATTCCTCCCTCGTCGGTCCGTCCAGGCTACTGGCCCGAAGAGCCTTGTCAGAGCACGCCGAACACAACGGAGCCTACCGGTACTCCTGTCCGTCGTCAACAGGTATGATTACACAGTACCTGGCCGAATCCGGCCAAACTTGGGTCATGCGGCTCACATGCATACATACATTGTATGGAGTAGCAGTTTACAGTACGGCACTTCGTCTGTCTGTATCCGTTCAGTCTTCACCTCCCTCCATGATTTGGACAGCCTTCACGGTTGTGCGTGATACGGGTAGCACCCTCAGAACGATACCCCAGCTGTTCGCAGATGCTCCTCTTGCGATGCTACACGACATAACTCTTCTCCGATACTATGCTTTCTAACTTAGTGTCCGCCACTTGGACATCGCCGCTCGTTCAACATTCTATCGCCACGGATACCTGCGCAAGTCGCGGCTAGTGCAGAACTTGCCGGCGTTCGGCACCATCCTAGTTTCCTTCTTGTGGGTTTGCATCACTGGCAACGCCCCAACGGCCCAATCCAACCCATCATTCAAGCTAAAGCCTCGTCCGCCTTGCCCTATCAAAGAACATTCGATGAAAGATTTGAATGTCGCTAGGCCGGCTTCCCATTGGGGGCACCAAAGGATTTTCCCCGCCATGTGTGCTTCTGGGCAGTGGATGCAGGTAATCTAGTCTCAGTGGGCACAAGCGAATGTAGGAGAAGAAGAGAAGGAGAGCAAAACAGATCTGCCACGCAATGCATGGTCGGCCCAGTCAGTGGCCACGAGCTGGTCCCCTGCAACGGTCCTGCGGGTTTGCCTCGATGCGGACAAGACTCAACTGCCACATTTGCAACCTCTTTCCTTGCCCTTAACTTGAGGATATTAAGTACCACCTCATGATACGCGCGCAGCATCTCGGAAAGCAAGAATCGTTCGCTTGGCCACGGCAATTTCTGTTCGAGAAGATAGGCGTTGCAGAGGCAAATGCAGCATCGCTGCGTTTGTCGGGTGCCTAACCGGCGTGGCTAACCTCTCTTTTCTTGCCCGACTATCCGTACGAAGGATGCTGCTCTCGTTGTAACAGAATGCTGTTTTTTCTAGCAGGACACCAGGAACTGCAATGATTTTCTGGGCCGTTCCCCCACACAACATGGCCAAACCCAACCCACCCACCCTGTCTGAGAGAGTCCCGAGCCGCACGGAGAGATTCGTGGCGCAAAGACACAACGAGCAACCGGATCGAAAAGGATCTCCGCCTCTGGCCGCTTGGCTGCAAATGTACCGCTCTGGATTGGAGATAATCTGCCCATACAACAAGCAGTCTATCTTCACCAAGGAAGGTTGCGACCCAGACCGCACCATAGCCATAACAGCCCATACAGCCTAGACTCAAGTCCGGAAACCTACGTTGTTACATTGGCACTCGAGCATGGCAGGCCTCTTTCGCTCTCCAAAGAGGCCTGGACCTTGAAAGCGTTCGTGGTGAAGTCATGGGTTCTCCATAGCCCGGGCCTGTCGACCGTTCTGCCACCATGCATGTCCGCAAGGACATTCAGACTTGGTGCTCCAGACAGGACGGTGCATCCGGAGGCCCGGTCGTACTGTATCCGATCCACTGCCGACAGTGGTCTTTACGGATACCAAGTACATAGCTCCGTGCATGGTATCGTCAGCGGAACGAGCCAATCGGACGAGCAACTCGGGAGCCGGAGCTGGACGCCCTGCCGTCTCTCTACCTGAGAGAGCCTTTGCTGTTATTCTTGGACCATGTCATACCTTGGGTATTGTTGATTGCTCTCCTCTTCCGCCAGTAAATGTCAACGGCATGAGATGCATAGGCTCTGAATCGTGGTTGTTACATGTCAGAACTCTGGGCCCTGCGCCACGGAACCTTGTGGCCGGATCAGGTTCCCTCTGAAGTCAAACAGAAACATTTCATCAGGCCCCACCCTCCTAAGGGTGACCAAATTTAGCCTGCCGGAGGAGATCCCGGGGCCACAGAGGCTCAACCTGTCAGGCGCAGGGGCCTTAGATTTACATGGCAAGGTACACCGCGCACAGGGACTGTCCCAAGCTCCCAGAGCATGGTAGCCGAGCCACCTGGAGGTGGAAGATTTGTCGACTTGCAGCTTGAGATGCAGATCGATATCGAAGTTGTCCATACAAGGCAGCTAGAAATGGGAGAACCAGATCAATTACCTTGAACGGAACACTCCAACAACCTGGCTGCCGGGCGCGGCCGGAGAAGTACGCAGCGGTTTTGCTCGGATCAGATTTGATTGCAACCAAGACGGAAAGGAGCACAGCCAGGGAATACGACGACCTCATGCTCGAGTTTCCAGGAGACGGTTCAAGATCGACCAGCGTGGTCTACACTAATACAAATATCCTTGTCACGAATGGAGATTGAGACAGAAGAGACAGATGCTCCCGTGGAAGCGGTAATGATGTGCCACGAGGCATTGTGCAACACGAGGGAACAGCCTATACATCATGATCAAGTCAGAACCAAGAGGTATCATTTTGACGGGTCCTGAATGTCAAATCCCTTGCTGCCGCGGCGCACGATGACCGTTGGCCATGAACGGTGGCGAGGCACGGCAAGGTATGCAGGAAGGGGCGACGGCATTCAGCCGTCTGTTGCACTAGCAAGCATATTTATGGTTTGTCGTCATTGCGGACAAGACGTTACTGCGTACCCAAGGGACATAGCACGCATGGCAGATGGGCAACCAAGAATGCGGAAGCCCTTTTTCTACCTTAGCTCTAGGCGATACAAGACATGACATGCGACCATGGGTGGGTAGCGCCCGTCCTGTCTCTCTCGGGCAAAGTACCGAAGGAGTACCTTGGTCTATCATCGGGCCCCAAGTGCAGACGAAAAGAAACGGGCCGGGCCACGATGACAGGAGACATTTTTGCATGACATCCATGTAAAGATGTGGTGCTCCCGGCTTCAACAAACGAGATGGGAAAACTGGTAGGGCCGAGAAAGCGGCATCGTTGGGTCGGTTAACCGTTGGCAGGTAGGTACCTGTCATGGACAGACAGGGCACCGTAGATGTGATGAATCTGTCTCGGTGCTGTAACGATGCCACGTCCGGCTACGTAGCTCAGCTCACTCTGAAGGTTCAACCTTTTCCCAGATCCATGTCATGGTAAGGGCACGTCTGAGGAGGAATGACAGCGGTACTTTGTGGTACCGCGCCGGGCACCACAAGACGAGCTTCTCCGACCAAGCGCAGGCGCCTCTGGAGTCTGAACTACCTTACAAGGCATATCCCGTCAGCGGCAGCGTGAGCATAGGGTACGGATGCTCGTGAAGTGTGTTTCTAGAGCTGTATCCGTACCTTAGTCCCTTGCTGCTGTCACTCTGGATTATGATCGGGCTCTAATTCGAAAAAGAAAAGGTAAACACTACGACTGATAGATGCTTGGCTTCCCGGCCGGGGCGCCTCACGTCCTCGTCCCGTCGCAGAAATCACGGCAACGCCAACCAGAGGTTCCAGAGGCACCGGTCAGAGCCAGCCAGAGTCTGGCAGCCCTACCAGTACCGTGTTGTGCATCCATACCGATACAGACAGACAACCTAACACGGACCAGGAGTTGAAACGGGACAGGGCAATCCAATGTCCAATCCGACGCTCCCGCTGTGAACATTGGGACGGGCTAGGTCAGGGCGAGCGAACAGGGACAGCCAGCAACAAACAGAATTCTGCCGAAGAACGGGACATGCGGTAATACCAATGCTTAGACTTTAGACAAGCTGCGATTGTCAAATACCTTGCCTCTGTTGCATTGCAATCAGACGGTTTTCTGTCCGTGGGACCATCGTCCATCCATATAAGGGTTGCTTGAGGACCATCGGCCAGGACTTGATCGAGAGCAAAAATTAAAATAAAGGGCTCTATTACTCCGTACCTACCCCAATCTTAAGCTGCATTGGCTCTCAGCACTTTTATCTTTATTTTTATTTTTTATCGTCATTACACCTCACACCCGCTTCCTAGTCACCTCACTCCACCTTCACCTCAGTCGACTTTTTTTTTTTCTTCCTCATCCCGCTGCTCAACCAGTCACACAGCATTAGCCAGCGGTACTTGCCTTGGGCCTCCATTGCCATTGCTGACTTTGTCTGGCTTGCATTGGCTGTTTGGGAGAAGAAGAAACCACCAAGCTTTGCTGTCAAAGCACACCTACATCATCACACCCGGCACTGGCCATCTCTGCCGTACCGCATCAGCACCTACCTACCTTCAGGTACCTGAGCATACGATACCAAGCTAGGTATCTCACCTACCCAACCCAAGGTACCTTTCCATCACCAAAGGTAGCTTGATTGCCTCGGGGGGTTTTTTTTGGGGGGGGGGGGGGGGGGGGGAGCTCCTCAAGTTTCCATTGTAAGTTTTTCTATCCTGCTTTCCACTCTTCTCATGCATGCCCGGATCGCACCAATTCCCTTGCTCCTTTCATATGCTTCATTCCTCCTTTTCATGACCATGTCGGCGCGACTTCCTTACTCGACATTCCTTGACATTATATGGCCCCTTCCCTGCCGCCGTCCTTTCCTGCCCAAAACCCTCGGACCATCCCGTACCTTCCTTGACACTTCGGCGTGGGGCACATCATTCTGACCCTCACCCTCGTCCTCACCCTCACCCGACCTCACCTTCCCTGAAAGTTCTTTCCACCTTGGGTGGCCTACCTTCTTACCATAAGGTACGGATACCGATACCTGGACCTCACCTTGAGATTCACTTTGCAACTGCACTTGCCTTGCACTTGCAGTTGCAATTGAACTTGTACTTTGCCCGCACTTCTTCTTCATTCGTGCCCTCGTCCTTACCCATCACATCCATGCGAAGAATAGCACCTGCCCACCACCGACCGGCAAACCTTCTTTCACCTTTTTCTTAAACAAGAACCACATCCTCCGGTCTTCTTGAATTCCTCTTAAAAAATCTTAATGTTTCCGACCTCTTTCTTCCTCCCTTCCCACACTCCGCCCGCTTCGTTTAGCATCCTCTCCAAACACTCAAAGTTGACTCAGTTCTTCAACTCAGACACCTTGATTTAACAACCACCCCCTTGCTCGTCAACCTCTTATCAACGTTTGGCCTCGCTCAAGTGAGTTCAAACTACCCGCCTGCAGACCATCACATCATGTTTAAGACGGCAGCATCACCTACCCAAATAACCATAAAAACGGCGCATGGCAATGCTAATACAACCTTACAGTTTCGAGAAGAAAACTACATTTTGCAAACCAAGGAAAAGGTTGAACGTCGTTCTGCCACCAAAGCGACAGGCCTTTCTACCAGACGACCAAAATTCAACAGCTGTTAGCGAGCGTCACTTTCCATCTTCAGGGCCAACTACCTACTACAACAGCAGCACCGGCACTATAAAACCACACAACCCAGGACATCGCGCACACAACGCACGGGGCCTCCAGCACGTCCGGACCCTTCTAGACGCAACCTTCGAGACCCCGAACTTCCCAAGCTTCCAGCTGCTTTCGATTCAAGATGGCCGTCGCGGGCCCCTGCGCCCACTCGTTCAAGATGATCAAGTCGGACAGCACCTTGATCCAATGGACCTGCAACCTGTGCCATTCCGGACCCCACTGGAGTATCTTCGAGTGCCGGTATTGCAAGCTACACACCTGCCGGCCCTGCACCCAAAGCGCCTGAGGTGCATCGTTTGTCGGCACCGTTACTGAGCACCCCAGACGACACCGACTGCGGGAAACATGGTGCTCACCGTGAGGGGATGGAAGATGAAGGCATGCCGGCGACGTGGGGTTTTTGCATTGGATGCACTCGAGGTATGTTCCCAAAGACACTGCCGCTCACGTCGAGCAAGTCATCTCGTTCGAAGTCGGGCTACATGTTAATTGCTTCTGATGACGCAAACTCCCTTCCGTCATCACCCAGACACAAGTGTCTCGCCCTATCCGATCCCCGATCTCATTACCTTCTCTTGTTTCATTGCCTATGAGGTTTCCAGATGAAAATGCCTGTCGGTGGATAATGCGGCACGGCAGTTGCAAACTGTGTCATCTTGCAATTGATGGATATTCATACTAACACAAGCCTAGGCCCCCTTTGAGACGTTCAAACGCTGCACGACTATATTGGTTCATCCCGACGGCGATGCATCACCAAACACGCAATACCAGGCGCATGCGCCTAAGAAATGCCCTGGCGATCGATGTCAGTCAGTGTTCTTTCGGATCGGACGACACCGGGAACGTTTTCGCGGGGTTCTCTCCCCTTTGATTCCTTCACTTTTGGCGGCGGCCGTCGACGCGAAAAAAGTCATGCAACTCTTTCCGTTTTCGATTTTTGAGTTTTTTCAATCATTCTGTTTGCAACCCTCCCCGGACGTTTTGAAGGCACGCCGATTACACCACCCAGACAGGACCAGCTCCGCCACCCCTGCCGTCGCGGCAGGGTCCTCGGTCTTAACTCTGGTTTAGCTCAGTGGTGCCGAATTTCGGTGCTGCATGGCGCACGTGGGACACTCTGGCTCAGGCACCTCTGCAGCTGGCTGCAGCTTAACGGCCCCGGCGGGGAGCGCATCCCGTCCACAGGGGGGTGACGCCCTAGCGCCTGTGTCAACAGCTGAGCCCCTGTGCGATGATGCCCTCGAGTTTCCGTACCTGGCTGAAGACGGGAATGATGCGACGGCACCTTTCACGGTCACAATCTGGAACCATCAGGCACTGAGCCTAAATCGGCAGGGAGGAATCATCCATCCACAGCTCTCGTTCGTTCGCCGACGCTCCGGCCGGTTAGCTCCTTGATTCGACCGCAAGAAGACGCACCCATCGCCCGTTCTCCATTTCATTTCACACTTTTGATCAATACGTAACGGAGTTTTTCGGCCGCGCAATGCCCAATACCCCTGTTCTACGGCAAACAACGACCTGGTTATTTTCTTTCCTCTTTTCCTTTGGGCAGACCGCCAAAGTTGGCGGGGCAGGAGCAGGTGAGGCGAGGGAGCGAGCGAGGGAGCGCGACGGATGTTGGTAGTGGTACTAGTGAGGAGGAACGGTTTCTTTCTCTAACAATAGATTTCGGGTCTTTTGGGAATGGTTCACGGAGCATGGCAAACAGAAGAAAAAATATGGGCTTAGATCACGTCACAACAGCACGCAAGGCTGATGGACTGCAACGGCGGTTATTTGTCAATTTCGAGCTTTCTTTCTTTTCACCTCCTGACGCAGAATACTTCTATTTCCTCACGCTACCTTTTTGACTTTTGGTCAGTTATCATCCTGAGTTTTGCCCAAGGAGTCTCTGCATCACATCGAACCCCTTGCGCTTCGGTTTCGCATATGACTTGATGCTGCCAGGCCAGAACGGTATCACGTCCGGTTGGTCAAGCATTTGTATAGCGCTTTCTGCGTCGGAGAAAACCATGAGTTTCTAAGTGTGCCATGACGCAGGAAGACCAAGAAAGGTGCCAAGCACTAATATAAAAGAACAAACCCTAATGTATTTCTAGCCATCATATCATGGTTGCTGCGCCCTGTGTCATCCAGAACTTGCCATGTCATGTCACCTGTGACCCAGGACGTTGGGACCTTTCGGTATGTGGGCGGATGTCTTTTGTTAGAAGGGACGTCGTTGGTCGTTCGGATGGAGCACCTCTTTTTTTGTTGCCCGGTGTCACTTATGGTCCGAGGATGCCGGTGAAGATATGCCGGTGAACATGCGATGGCGTTTTGGCGGTTGCCACTGAGATGCGTTGTGTAACCATCCGCCTCGCCTCGCCTCGCCTCGTCTCGGGTCTCCTTGGCTTAATGTTTTCTTCAACGGGAGAAGTCGGTGAAGAAGTTCGGTGTCCACGTTCTCGGGCGGACGGGAAAGAGTAGGGAATCTCGTGTCGAGGGCGGGCTGCCATCTTGTCATTGCTATCAACCCTTTTCTTTTTGCAAGGCTTTTTTGTGTTCATGTTGCACAAAATGTAGATCCGGGGTTTGTGGTTGAGAGTGTTCGCGGGTAGAGCATGGCGCGACCTCGGCATGGTGTTGGCATACACACCTACATAGCTGCATACGGTGACACACACACACACACACACATGGCATGGCATTTGGCGACTTGTACGACTACATCTGACAGGAGGGACGGCCGGCCGGCAGCTTGCATACATATTTCTCCGAGGTCAATCGGTTCACTTGGGCGGCCCCCTTTTTACCCTATCTCTGGGCGAAGGATTACGCGAGGCGGCGGCGGCGGCGGCGGGATCCTTTTTTGGTGTAACTCAGTATCCTAGGTAGACGGTTCAAATGTTGTCCATGGGAAACTTACAACATGCATGGCTGAAGCGCGTTGATAAAGTAAGAGTCGTGGTTGGTACGGATGACTTTTGTGTGGTGATTTACACCGACGAATTCGACGACGGTGTGATAGGATTGGGTGAATCCGATGGGTGGCTGATGATTATTGGTCAAGACATTACAGTTGGCGCTTGTGACGACGTATGACGGTACAAAACATGTAGATGAGGCTCTTTGGGGGGCGGGAATGGTTCTTGGCTGGATGTTTTGCCAATCATCTCAGTGAAAACTATTGTTAGTACTTACCCCCCCCCTAAGCCTACTTGTCATTTCCCAATTCATTACGCTGCAGCCTTTTGTTACCAACATGCGAAGAAGAAGAAAATAATGATGAGATCGTGATGGAAAAACTTTGAGCCCCAATTGGCTGGGAATGTAAGGCAGACAGATACCCAAGGGCAGAGAATACCAAGTGGACATGAAGGATCGACTCGAAAGATGGTTTAAACGGAGTGCGGATAGATACTGCACATCACAATCGCTGCGAAGATCGGGGGAATTATCCCCGTTTTCCCTGCTTCTTCTTCTTCTTCGTCTTCCTCCCTCCCCTAGCACTCCTAGATCCCCGCCCGCCCCTCATCTTTTTCTGCCCTTTCAAGATTATTTCTCAAGTATCGTTGACCGTTGAGCCTTCATCGCGCCCGCGGTACACGTTCAAACGGATACCGGGGAACAAGGGGGTCTAGTTACGCGCGGGGGAGGGGGGGCTGCCCGTTGTGCACGCCCAGTTCGGCCGGCAAGGCGTGGGATGGGCAAGTTTGCTTCTGCTTTTTTGGGTGATCGCAGCCGGCGGCGGGTGCGTGATCGCGGGAAGCCTCGCCGAATCTCTCGATGTTATTTTATGTTCTTCCGCTAGGTAATTCCCGCGCCCGTTCATCTCCTTTTTGGTTCATTAATCACATTCCATCTGGGCAATCTGGGGTATCAGAATACCCTGGTGGGTATAAATTTATGTTTCCCCGCTTTATTTTGTCATGTTAACGCCGATGGGCGCATCTTTTTTTCTCGGGTTACACAAAGGGTAACGAGCATATGAAACTTTGGGGCGGGATGGTGTCATTGGCGATGGGCAACGTATGTAATGACCGACTCAAGAGGGAAGACAGGTACTTACAGTGATGCTCAAGGATTGGCTCACATCATACATGAAGTTACATGTTACATGTGTCAATGGCGGTGAGGCTTCTTATCTCGATTCCCCGGGGTTCACGATGCCGCGGAGTTTTCTAGTTGCGTTATCATTCTCGTGGAAATCAGGAGATGATGACACGGATTTTTTTTCACGATGCAGATGCGTTAATCGGGGTTCGAGAACAAGAAAAAGGTGGGTTATGCGGAAAAGGTGCGATTTCATGTGCGAGAGGGGCACGGAGGGTCAGATAGGTTACACGGCATTCTACTTCTTTCTTCTGCTTCTGCTTCCCACCTAACCCCCGCCCGTCCACCTGGTATGATGCCGTATCTAGCGAGAGCTTCACATGTGATACTCCTCCGTCTCGTGTGCTCGAATTCCTTTTCCTGGGGCCGTGGTGTCGGCCAACGGTGTCAGCCAACGACAACATGCCCGCCAAGACTCCATCTAGAATGCTACCTGTTTTTTCCCGCGGTATTTTTGCTTTTCCTTCTGTTCCCCTTTTGGGGACATGTGGGAATCGTGGGATATGACATGTGTTATGGCTCTTCTTGTGAAGAAAGTTACCTATTCTAGTTTAGAGGCAGGAAAAGTGGAAAACGGAGAGATGGCTGCCCAAGTGGGGAGAGGAGGAGGAGGAGGAGGAGGAGGAGGATGGAAAGTGGGCTGCAACCACCAACATCAGGAAATCTGGTCTGCGAGACATGGACCCTTTATGCAACAGCAACGGTATTCTTTGCGGTGGGAGCCGGTATGTCCCAATCAAAGACTGTCCGCTCGGCGTTGCGTCGCGTGACGACGACGTGGTCGCCCACGCGGACCTGAACCGTTCCCTCCCCGGCGAGGGAACCGTCTTCCACGGAAGGAACTTTGAGGAAAGCGTACCGGCCAAAGACGGGCGCGTATTTGTGACCCGGATCGACGCGCCGGTCCTTCATGAGGGTGTTGAGGAGCTTCCCCTCGGGTCCGGAAGCTGCGCGGCCGAGTGCGTAGTCGACGTTGAGGGAGGTACAGCGACCACAGTTGGCCGTGAGGAGGAGCTTGGCGTCGGAGGAGGCGGGGAGGGAGAGCTCCGCCCAAAAGTCCTCGGCGAAGGGGGCCTCGGAGGAGTCTTCTACGACAATGTTGGGGCGCATTTTGGGCATGATATGGGACGGGGCATCCGGGGTTTGAAAGGGTGTCAGGGATGGGTAAGATAGGGAAGAGTCTGAGGTGATGAGGTAAGGGGCGCAGTCGGTGAAGGTGAGCCAGGCTTGTTTTTCATTTTCGGACTTGGAGAGGGACGAGAGGGATGGAAGATAGGATGTGATTGAGGAGAATAGAGAGTAGGATTGCTGTTGTTGCTGCTTGGCAGAGGCCCCGGGAGCGAGGGTGCCGAGGACACGGCGGCGGCCGGAGCCAATGTGGACCAGGATTGTGGGGAAGCCGAAGCAGGCGGAGAAGAAGGCGTCGTATGACTCCCCCATACGGAGTGCCTCGGCGGGACTTCCGTGAAGGTCGACCGATATGGGCTCCAGAGACGACGTATCCGGGACGAGAGGCACCGAAAGGGTCGTATCCTGGAGGAGATGGTGGTCGATGAGGGGCGGGGTTGGGATGTTGTACTTTACCAGGATCTCTTCGCCGCCGTCTTCGTCGGGAGAGCCGACGATCTCCTGGGAGAAGAGAGCGCACTGGGGAAAGGTGGAGAGCTGCATCTTGCGGAGGGTCGAGTCCGAGTTTACTTTGAACAGCATGTATGTCCTGTCGTGAAGGATGCCTTGCGGGGTGAGGGTTGCCGCGGTGAGGTGGATTGGGCGGAGAGCCTTGATGGGGTAGACGTTGAGAGCTTTGATCTTCATTTTGCGTATAGATGATGGTGCGACGCTACGATGTATGAGTGTGGTGGTGGTGATGAGTAGATTCAATTGCGGCTGAAGGTGATGATTCCTTCTCTCTCTTCCGATATGCACGGGTTAAGTCGGTGTGACGTTGTCGAGGGGTGAAGTTGATTTGGAGTTGGTTGAGAGTTTGAGCAGATCGCACGTCAGTCGGAGCTTTCTTTGGGGTAAGAGGAAGGGGAAAAGGTTAATCTGATTATTCAGGTCAACCTAGCTACGTGCAATGGAGCAAGGATGATCCTTTCCAAGGGAGGAAAAGCAGCACATGGGAGGGCTGATGGAAGGATGCACCCACGTATTCGTAGAGTAGGAAGCCGCAACCGCCGATATCGTAGCAGCCTGACAAAAGGTTAACTTGCCTGGGGTCACGAATGGTAAGCAGAAAAAGTATAGAAAAAAGAAGGAGCTTATTCTGCCCGGGGAGAAATTTCGGTAAAATACGCGATATCTGATTTGGGCTGGGTATTCTTTCTCTTTTCGGTCACTTGTTTTTTTTTTTCTTTTTTCGGAGACAGGTTTGCGCAACGTTTCGTTTCGAAGTGGTTGCTTACGGATAACGATGCCGCCGGGTATAACGTCGGACGTTCCGAAAACATTTGGGTGAGATAAGCACGATAGCAAAGATAGCGGGGACGGAGACCAGGTATTGACGGGGCCAGCGCCGGCGCCGGCGAGCATCGGGGCTGTATCCGAAGGTTCCCCATGCCGAGGGGGGCCAGGTGCTCCGGTGAGAGCTCAATTCAAACCCCTTTTTTTTTCTACCTCAGATCGTAGAGCCATACTCGGACTCGCAAGATCGCGTGCCAAAGTGGAATATTTGATAAGATAGGACATCCATCTTCATGGCGAGCCGCGGCGGACATGTTGATGATACAGAGGACCTCGAGAAATGAGAAAAGGTATCCCGAATAGGCGGGAGCAGAGTGTGATTAGGCAGAAACACAGCGGGATTCTGCCCGCTCCATCTCAATTAGGGATGTGATGCCAGGTGCCAGGATGAAAGTGCAGGGGAGAGAACATATTCGCAATGGGCGTGATACTCCTGCAAGGGGCAAAGAGCGACGTCGATGAAATCAACTATTTGAGCTCACCCCGGGGTGGGTCCCCCGCTTGTTCCGCAACATGACACCCGCGTCGCTTACCGTTTGGCGGTCCCGAGATCCACCGGGCCCGAGGCACGGGATAACTACGGAGCTCTTCCGAGAATGGCAACCGGGGCGTCACTCATTGGCTAAGCTTCTCAAGGCTTAGTCTGGGCGCGGCGGGCGTGGTTGAAGTGTCGCTGCCCAAAGCTGGATACCATGTTAAAAAACAAATTTGAATTACGCGGATTAAACTGAACCTCGTTCTCGCTGCCCAAAACTCCACCGACATTTGATAGGTTTGCGTCCTTTTCTCCCTCTCATTTATTTCATTATTAGCATCATAATCCCTAACTTTCTGCCTCCTGACTAGTGAAGAGATTACCCAGAATGGCAACAAATTGACTTGACTCGTGTCTTTTCAAACGGCTGTGAAATTTCCCGCGGGAACGCTAAAAGGGGGCACGTCTTCTAGCTTAGCTCCGGGAAGCTTGCTGCCACGCATCCACGCCTTACTTTCTGTAACTTTGGTCGCATGGTGGATCGCCCACGAGCTGCAAGAAAGAAAAGGGGTGCCACCAAACGCCCGTTAGCGGGGGCTGTCAAACTTGCTTCTGAAATTGTTCTAGGCCCTTTCTTGACGTTTGATGCCGGGCCGCAACCCCCATCTTGCCCCTCCCTCGTTTGGGTATCAGGGAAAAAAGGGAGAAAGAGAAAAGTAAGAACGGGCGCTCGATTGCCCGTGATGTGGGAGATGTGATGCTGCCATGCATGGCCATGGCTCTCTTGCATTGCGCCCCGGCAGACATGGACATGTTTAGATGGGATTTTGAAAAACCCCATTTGCCTCGGCGTCACCTCGGCGGCTCGGCGACGTCAGCGAGATGGGGAACAAGGAAAGATGGCGCAGCGAAGAGGGGCAAACTCGACGGGGAGGAGGAGGTCTTCCCCGGGGGAAGTACTTTATCACAGTATTCCAGCCGTACGGGGTACAGAGTACACGTATATGCTCGCGTGCCGGTGCGTGAGAATACTTACCCGAAGCCAACGGCGCACTGCCGACGATGACCTTTACCATGCTGTGCAGGTCTGGGTTTATCAACGGTCAACGGTCGAGGGGGGTGGTTGGTGATCATCTCTACCAAGTTTTGGCAATCTTTGCGCCTAGAGTGGGAGCACGTACGGGAGCCGAAAAGTCGATGACGCCGATGACAGCAACATCGGTCAGCGGTCCGGTCCGAAAAGGGGACGCCTCCGTGAGCTTGATGCTCAAACGGCTAGGCGGGATCCCCTTGGCATGGGGACTGGGGGATGCTGCAAGCGTGATTGGGCTGTTGTGTTCTTTATTTCAATGAAAGACTGGCACACGACAGCTTTGTTTGATGATCAACGGGGTAATTATCGGCTTCTTCTTGGAGAATTTAGGCAGTTGAAGGCTGGGAGCTGGGAAAAGGGGGGGGAGGAGAAGACTGAAGCAATTCCCGCGGAATATGCTTGCGAAGTCGCGTCCACAGCATCAGTTTCAACAAGCAGCAAGTATCCGTACTTCGTATTTTCTCTGATGGTATGCGTAGATTGATCCCCACGAGGACCCTGAGATATAGCTCCCTGCGATCAGAGATTCGACTGCCCGCCCTTATGATCCCAAATATCCTCGGGCGGGTAAGATGCCCCGCCCTGTGCAAATTTCATCGAGACCAGCTTCTTTGTTATGGTGGCTGAAAGGGCTCCTCGGCTGCCTCTTTCTCTTGTCCGATCGGCCGATAAATTGACAACTGACACGGGATGTGTTAGGACCCATTCGTTGGTTGCTAGCCGGTTTGTGTGGCGAATGGGTTATGAAGATTGATCTTATTCACGCCCAGATATTCCATCAACGCTACACTGGCATATACGAAAACTCTCATCAACAGCTCGACGTATAAGCGACAGAATAAATATCATGAAACGCTGACTGACTCAAGACGATGGCCTGATGTCTTGGAGTTAAACAGCACTGCAGTTCCAAGATGGTTTAGATATGGTGCTATGGATAACTCACCTCCTTTTTCCCCGGAATGGCCTCACCTAGCCTTCCAACGGCCATGTCGTTCGGCAAGCCCATGGCTGACGAGGGCCCATGTCCAGCGGCAACGAGTGGATTGATTCAAAGGCCATTCCAGCCAACGTGATCCTCCAAGGTACCGTCACGCCAACACCGGTCCCCCTACCCAAAGCCGTTTTGACTGCCCAGCGTCCTCACAACATCCCTACGTCCCCACTACAAACCCCCCTACTCGCCCTCCCCTAGGTCCCTTGTCTCTCATGCTATGATGCTCAGCGGCAACCGGCCGACCTGGTCTGCCGGACATCCCGGGCTGGCTGCAGGGTCGAAAGGGGTTGCCTTCCCTTGCCAAGATTCGCGCGCTTGTATACACTGGAGAGAGCACCACCCTGCGGGAAGTTGGAAACACTGCACAATCTATGTAGCCCCCCGGGGGGATGTGTTGCCAAGAACTAACGGCGCGGGCTTGGGAAGCAATCCTGAAATGTGAAATGAGGGCTCCTGCAAAGAGACGGAAGCGAGTGATATCAGATGTCAAAACCTGGCCTATTTCATCCTTATCATCTAGACTACTCTGGAGGTTTGCACATTTTGGATGGAACAGGCTTTTGATTATCACTGCAGCATCCGATTTGCATCTCAAAGTTGGAATGGTGGTCTAGATCATGTTGGCCCTAGGGTGCATGCGGGCGCATCTGTGACATGTATATACTCTGGTGTTTGTATTCTACAAGTATCTCTCTTTTGTAATGTAGTGGGTGCCATTCTGCATGGCCATCACTGCGGTGACTTGTGGTCCATAGGGCCCGTAGTAATGTTGGCTCTTAGAGTTATCTCCTTTCTAGGGTTGCATTAAGTCGTGTTTATAGTAAGTTTAGCCACGGGGCGCTGAAGTGTTGAGATGCACTAGGCAAATGAGCTTAGAATCGGAAAGTCGTAGCTGACTAGAATATCTAGCAATGTTACACAATTTTTTGTGGCGTGATTCACATGATATATTTGCTTCTTCATGACTTTGATAGGCCCAAGGTGATTACTAGACTTATGGACTAGCTGTGATGGTTTGGAGGCGCCAAAGTATAATCCTGTTAAAGTCATAATATTCGTGTTGTTGAGGCAATTGCAGTCCCTAGATTTCAACGCCCCCTAATGCACGTTCGCTTGACGTTCTCGCTCATTCGATACTTTTTGCAGCATAGCGTGAGATTTTACACAGGAATCCAACGCACATTTCCTTTATTTCCGCTTTGGACCGCAAGAAGTGCGTCTTAGCAAGGAAACAATTGTCACATTTGTCTCGTGGTCATTGCCCTAGGCACACGCAACGACGCCACAGCTGCCTGAACGAAGTCTATTCTCTGCTATGTGAAAACATGAACATGCAGTTCATCCTCTACTTTTCACAGTCTAGTTGGAGGGAAGCCTCACCATACATATTCGACCATGTAGAGTGGCAAAACGGTCTAGGAGCTGTAAACGGCAGCGAACCTAGCCTCCAGATCCTTCTCGGTCAGAAGCGGGAGGCCCACAAGCTCGTTATCGAGCTTGTCGTAAGCAGACTTGTATCTGCCGCTAAGGAGGGCAGCCTTGAGTAGACCAAACATCTTGAACTCGTTGGTCGGGTCCTCCTGGGCGGCCTTCAGGTTCTTTTCCAGCTCAGCCTCCCCATCAAGCTCGGTCTCCTTCCACTCGGTGCCAGGCGGTGAGTACTTCTTGGCGAGCGTAAGTAGCTGCGACTGGGAGACTTCAAGCTCTTGAAGCTTCAGGTTACGGTTCTTGGTCGCCTCCGGGTTCTTCAGGGCGCCAGCAACCGCCTGTCCGATACCAGCGAGACTAGTGCTTGCGAAGCGGGCGTGGCCCCCGTTCGTCACGACGGCCGTCTTGTTCGCGTAGTCAAAGGCGATGGGGAACTTGACGACGAGATCGGTGAAGCCACCGACGGAGAAGATGGTGTACTCGATCTCGCTGGCCTTTTCCTTGAGGTAGTTCTGCGTGTCGGTCATGGGCTTCATCATAACGGCGAGCTCAGCCGCCGCCTTGGGGTCGGTCGTGAAGGAGCCCCAGTCAGAAGGGATGTAGCGCTTGACGCCGGCCTTGATGGCGGCGTCGATGATGGTTTTCTGTATGAGGAGGCCGCCCTTGCTGAGGGTTGAGACGATGACATCCTGCCCCTTGATGGCCGTGGCGATGGTGTCGATTGAGGAATAGTCGATCGCCTTGTAGTGCACGCCAGCGGGGAGGTCTTCTGAGGCCGACTCGGCGCGGCCGAATACCGTGACATTGAAGCCAGCGTTGGCAAGCTCAGTGGTGACTGCGGTTCCCAAGAGACCTTTCTGTAAACTTGTTAGTTCCTAAGCTGCTCCTACTTCGGAGACAGGAGTGTGGGGAAACTTACGCCAAGGAGAGCGACGTTCTTGAAAGAGCTCATCTTCGTAGTTTGGTGGTGACAATCTGGTAAGCTTTTCAGACGTTATGTGCTGAGATAATTGTTGTCGTTTGTTACTGTTGCATGTTGGTCGATTGGTGTTCACCGCGACTCTCATGTCCTCTTATACACACTATCTACTTCAACTTTCCGGCTGTGTTATTGAGACTGAAAGTCCGACGGCTGACGAGATGACTCCGTCATATTTACTCAGGGTCAGGGTGACGATGCCTATCCCGACAAATTTGGCAATCTTTCGGGACTTTGGACGTCGAAAGTCCAGAATCGAGGACGGACAAGATGGCGCAGTTGTGGAGAAAGCACCTTGGTTCAGTCCACTCGGCGGATATAATTATGTCTCCGAATTATTGATCTCCGAATTATTGATAGTCCCATGCCGCTCTGAACGCTGATTTGCGGAAAGCTGGGGTACACTAGTCGAAAAAGACTGTAGCGGGGGATACAAACCATCCCAGAAACATCCGCAATTGCATCCGCTGACTCTTCCAACTACACAAAGGGCGGAAGCTTATTAATATCCGCCCACTTATACATCCCCCCCGATTACTCACGACAACTCCCGCATCAAGCACACTGTTCGCCCATCTTTCTAGCGGATTCAAACAAAAGCCCGCTTCTCTGTCCAAAATATTTCCGAGGGTCGAGGAGACCACCTGGCAAACATGGCTGGTGTCGCTGAGACCGCAAGTACCGGCGAGATCAATGTGGAGGAGGCCAGCAAGCGGATTTATAGTGTAAGCAACTCCGCTTGCCAACCGTCCAGTCGGAGTCGACATGAGCTAATCTAATCACCGTCTACAGGCATGTGCCTACTGCAAGTCACGCAAAAGACGATGCGATGGAGGAGAGCCAGCCTGTGGACTCTGCACTAGGTCGGGCGTACCCTGCGTGTACACTGAGCGCAGGAAGAGAGGCCCGGGGCGGAAGTTAGTATCCATTGCGGATGCTTAATTCAGGAACAATTGCTGACTTGTCACTCAGGAACAAAGTCGGGGCCGTATCAGAAGGGAAGCGGCAGAGCAACGAGGCTGAACTCAACGGTCTCGGTGATCAGTCATCCCTTGATGATCCAGAATCCGCAGGGCTTGTCAATACTCTGTCTTCTCAGACTGTTTCCCCCACAGAACGTCCTATTAAAATACCCAAAAGCCTGGCGCAAAGACTCCAGAGCTATGCCGCAGAACAAAAACAGCGTAACCCGGCTGATCCTGGGCCCAGCCGGCGTGAAAGGGTGGCACCCTATGCTCTCCCCTTCCTCCCCAAAGATCTGTTCGGGCGGTCTTCCATACTAGAAGGGCTTCGCAACGCCCGGAGTCAAATCGAGGCAAACATAGATCCGAGACCGTTCAGCAGAAGCACGTTCGCGCGCTTCCCGCCTCAAGAGTACATTCTGGACCTGGAAATCACCGTCATGGAAGAAGTGCAGCTCTTCTGTCCCGCCATGACTCAGGAGACGTTCCTAGAGCTCACCGACAAACAGTACGGAGTTCATTCCGATCAAAACGACTGTGATACTTCAGCTAGGCGATGCATAGCGAACGCCCTATTCGGGGCTGCCATGCGGTGGAGGACCGCGAATGATTCCTTTAAGCACTTTAGCGGCTTGAGCTGGGGATACTACAAGAACGCTTACTCCATTTTCCCGGAGCTTATTCTTCAGGGCAGCAATGTGTTGGCATGCGAGGCGATATTGGCTTTAGCCACGTTCTCTCTGGGCACGGCCGATACCCGCACGACAGCGCAGCTGGCTTCTGCTGCGGCCCGAACTGCCCAAATAATTGGGCTACATAGGAGAGAAACCTATGCGAACCTCGGTGCCACAGAGTCAGCGCGGCGAAAGCGAGTATTCTGGGCCACGCATATACTCAACACCGACATGATGGTCAGATTTGGACTGTCCCATCCCTTTGCTCACGGCGATGTGACAGTCGAGCTTCCAGCCGAGAATGCGACCATTTTCGATGGCACGTCACAGGCACCGTGCTTCCTGAGAAGCATGGCACAGCTATCCAGAACCCAAGTCAAACTCCACGAAAAATTCTCTGCACACAATATCCAGCTCCAGTCAGGCACAGATCATCACATGATGCTGATACTGTCCACATGTGAGCTGGAAGAGTGGAAGACCTCGCTCCCACAGGAATCGAGACCGGATCCAGCCACTCTCTCGACGACGAGAGAGCTCGACATGCCTACCGCCCTCTTGCATTTCATCTACTTTAGTACCCTGATCAAGACGCACATCAACCTGGCACGGCTCAAGAATGCGACGAGCATTCAGCCATCGTCCCCGCTGTACAACGAGTGGGTGAATAGAGACGCTTTTCCCAGCATAGAGCAGTCGCACGCCAAGTGTACTGCAGCGGCGCGGGCTATTATTGATCTTCTACGCGTGATGCCGCCTCAGCCATATGTGAACTTGTGGTAAGTCTCTAGCGTCGTTGCTTCGAAGTAGGTTATTGACACCCTTGACAGGGTTCTCCTCGGCTATCCCATCATGGCCAGCTTAATTCTCTTGTGGTCTGTACTCGAAGAGCCGACGGGCTCAGACGCCCTTCTCAATGTGAGGGTCATGGGCCAGTTCATTCAGTTCCTGGCGGGGGTGAAGGAGGAAGGCTGTGATCTGCACAGTGTGTTGGACGGCTGTTCAAAGATTTACAAGATTGCCAAATACGTCGTCCACACGCAGAGAGCCATGAGGTTGTCGGCGCCCTTGGAGGAAGACAATGACGTCAAGGAACAACTCGAGGTAAGTTCAAATTGGACGCGCTATTTTTCAACGGTACGGCGTAACTGACTTGCGTACTTGTAGACTCTTCGTTTCAAGCTCTCTGGAGTCACGGATTGGATGTATCTCGCCCAGGGTCTACTAAGTAACATGCCTCTACTTTGCGCACAAGCAAGAGACATCTTTGCAGATGTCCTTGGGATGGAGCAGGCGAATCCCGAGTATGGGGCGTTTGCCCCCGAGTTGCTGATGCCACACAAGCATAATGTATTTTTTAGTTCTTGAAAGAACTTATGACTTGCATTGTACACATAGAGAATGATACCCCATAGTTGAGCTCATAGCAATGCTATCAGGGCAACAAGAGAAGCCACAGTCACAGCAGCCGCCACACGTGCAAGTTCGGCTGAACTCGATGCACCGGACGGGCTCGTCGTGGCCGATGCCGAGGCTGCGGGCGTGGAAGAGGTTCCTCCGCCACCAGCACCACTGCCGCCAGTACCTCCGGTGCCGCTGCTACTGCTCCTACCACTTCCTCCACCGCTAGCCCCGCCAGTGTTCGTTTGACTGCTCCAATACGTTTGATTCCACTCCGCAAACGACAGACTCGAGTTGAGTCTCAGCTTAGGATCGAGGTCGTCCGCCGTGATCGTACGAGTGGTAACCTCTCCGTTCCAACAATGGCGGCGGAAGCACTCCTGACACTGATCCGGCAGGTCGATACCGGCCCTGATCAGACTTCCGCGGATCGTCGCGCAGGCTAGGCAAGCGGGCCACGCTGCATCAACGGTACCGTTGCCGTAGGTCGCAAGGTTGAAGGCGTTGTCGACGGTGAGGTCGAACTCGTTGTCCGTGAAGGAGGACTTGAAAAAGGAGAAGTTGCTGTAGCCGGACCACGGCGAGTTGGGCAGGTAGAGCACCAGCGGCGTAGGCGGCGACTTGGCGGCGTCGCAGCCGAAGAAGGTGGGCTGCTTGGTAAGGTTCTGGGTCACCAGCGTCGCGACGTCGGGGATCTTCGGGAATGGAATGTTGCCCTGGGCTGCCGACTGCGCCGTGTTGACGAGGTTTGTGCCGTTAACCCAATTATACTGCGCATCGGAGGAGGCCTCGTAGACGATGACGAAGTCGACCTGGCGCTCGGGGATGATGAGAGGCCGGATGGGGTTCGTCTCCCCGCCGAGGCTGCCGTCGACGAGGAGGAGCTCGTCGATACCCTGCATGGCTGCGTTGTAGTTCTCAAAGGGATTCGGGTAGGTGGCCCACAGAGACTCGTTGAATGTCTGGTTGAAGGACTCGGCGGTCTGGTTGACGAGGATCACGCGCCCGTCGTCCTCGAATTGAGGGGGAGGCACGATGACTGTGGTGTTTGGCGGGCCCGTTTTGAGCGCCCGCTTGGCAAAGATTGGTGTATCGTACCAGTCGTCGATGAACCACGCGTCGAAAGCGTCTGCCGTGGACCCTTGAATGAAGGTGAACTTGTCGAATCCTTGAACGCACTCGCTGCTGTTCTGAGCTGTGCCGTTGGACATGGAGGTTCCGAGGTACATTGTCGGCATGAAGGCCTGGATTCGTCCACCTCGCCAGCTTCCAAACTCGAAGGGAGTCACCTCGTAGGAGGTCAAATTGAACCCGTTGGTGTTGTTTCTTCCGGGCCACATGATGCCGCCGATCGTGGGCGACTGTCCAGGGATGACTTCGGAGAGAGCAATAATGGGCATCGGGGCTTCGCCTGAAGAGAAGACGGTTCCGGATTGGGCGAGATCAGAGTAGTTGCCATATGTGCGGTTCTCTGGCAGATACGTTGCCCAGAACTGACCAAAGGCATCTGCGACGGAGACAGGGAGTTCCGTCTCTGCTTTTGCACCGACATTCTCAAAGATGTCTGTCAAATATGAGGTGATGTTGCCGTCGGGACCCAGGGTATAATCCACAGTGAAATTGATCTGTTTTCTCAGGGCACTTATAGTGATGAAATCGTTGGCAGCTCTGCGCGAATTGTGAGCATTGCGAATAAAATGGAGAGAGAGGTATGGTGAGATAGAATAGAATCGGAAGGACTTACAGTGTGCTCACGGTCAAGGCACCTCCGCCACTCAGACCGGTGATGTATGATAGAACCTGCGTGAGACCCCCCGTACGAGCGGCAACAGCAGCCGGGTTGCGAGCATCAAAAGCCTGCCATATGCCGAGACCTCCAACACCAGACTGCGTGCCGCCTCCGGAGACGGACAGACCGACGACGGGGTAACTGGAGGTATTGAGCCGTTGGATGTAGCCCTGAACATCGAACCCCGAGATATTTGCAAGTGTGAGGTAAGAGCTGAGCGCGGGGATGACCTTTTCACCGCGGTTAACTCTCCAAGATGCTTCCGGTCGTGAAAGCCCCTGTAATATGAAGTCAACAGCTATGGCTGAATCTCATAGAGATGGCCTCAAGTTACCTCGGAAGCGGACCGGACCGCCAGTCCTGAGGGGCAGCTTGCGTAGACGGGCGCAAAGGGGTCGACGTCTCCTTGTCCCTGGGCAGCGGCGAAGCCGGCCAACAGGAGGACTCCCCCGAGATAATGTGGGTTTCTCGTAGCCATGGTGTCGTAAGAAACAAGATTTAGACATAAGGAGCCGAGAGCTGCTCGAGCTCTATCGTGATAAGTTGGGTAAAGCTATCTTTATCTACCAGCTGTCCAGCACCAGCAGTCAGCTAGAAGTGAGATGGGTATCTGTCTCTACGAGACAAAATTGTTCCATTTGCGGGGACCGCCTAGTTGCCCCTCGTCGACAAAGCCGGGGTGATGCATTGGGACAAGACGACAACAGCAAGACGTCTTCAAGTACCTATGCTACATGATCGGTGGCTCACTGGCACAGCACCTGTAAGGTTGGCGATTTAGGCGGGCTTGGCGGGCTGAAGCTTGTTCCTGTTGAAGCACGAGGCTATTCTCTTAGGGCTGACTTATAAACATGCCAGTCCAATGAAGTCATCCATATCAGCCGCATCCGGCTCAGTGTCGCATGCCAAGTCATGGCTCGGAGAATGCAAACACGTTTCCCACAAGCCCCTCTGTCTTAGTCTGCTCAGATGAGATCTGGGGCTCTGGGAACGCTAGTGGGAAGATGGGGATTCTCGATCTCCGTCTGCATCCGTGGCGTTTCGTTGAACTCGTCGATGCAGGAAGTATGTTTTAGGGTTATGGGAAGGTTATAGTGATGCCTCAATCCTATGTCAATTGATATAATCAGTATAGAATCGGTGCTGTCCATCTATACTAGAGTAGTCAAACAATCTATTTACAAAGTTTATTGTTCCCTCTGCGAACAAGGCTTTCGGGCAAAAGAAGGGAAAAGTACTGCTGTGGAAGGCACTTGGTGCCGAAAGCGGCAATGGCTGAGACTAAGTTTTGGCCGCAGCTGTAACAGCCAGATGGAGGACTGACTCTACCTTCGGCCAAGTCAGCTAGCCCTCTCGGATGTTTGTAGAATTTCAAGTCAGGCGCATGAAGAAGCACTGAGCAGGCGTCCTGACAACTGACTATTTCTAGAGAAGTCGGGTCCCAGCCCAGTGCTGTCTCCGCTTGCTGTGTGTTGATATGGCGCAGCCATAATACGTTCGAAGTTGCTCTCTGTCACTCGGGAGCTAGTTGATAGTCTCAAGGAAACTAGTTCCTTTACTCAACTGCATTTTATACTTGAATCCTGCACAAAGCCTTGACTCGCTAATTGTCTGCAGCGTCTTACCCGAGAGTATCAGTATTTCTTGTGTCTTGTCCTGCATGAAAGCAGCACACCCTGCCCTTTACAAGGTACTGAACGAGACCCACTTTCATTTCCAGAGACTCCATTTTCTCTGCAGTCGCCACCCCGCTTCCCTTCATAGACCCGTTTTGCAGCTGCACCATCAACTCCGCCTCTCCAGCTCGAGACTCGGAATAATACATTATGGCCCTCTGGCGCAACGGTAGCGCGTTCGACTCCAGATCGAAAGGTTATCCGTTCAAATCGGGTGGGGGTCACTCTTTTTTCCCTTTTTGGGCTTCCTGTGAAGCTATCGTGAGTTTTTCTTGGTTGTGGTGGTGTTTTGGTGAGGTCGCGCGAGAGCTTGGTGTTTGATTTTTTGTGGGAGTCATTAGGGTTTGGCGGGACCAATGATCTCGGACGCTCTTGTTACCGTACGATTGGATAGTCTCCCAGGACTTGATTACTTTGAGAAGAAATATTGGGTGAGTGGCATGTCGTATGCTGTGATAGAGTTGTCGTTTTCTCTTGGTCTTCAGAACTACAGAACTCAAGACCTCATCTTATAGATCGTTGCCTGCACCTCACCTGAAAGATTTCCTACCAGCCTGCTTGAATGCACCGAGATGACTATGATGACAAAAAGCCCGCCCACTTGCTTTATGGCTTGTGACTTCAAAACATCCGTCGTAGTGAAGCGCTTGACATTAAGGCAATTGCACCATAGAATGATGCAATCGATCGCAACCCATACATGACATTTACCGACACATTCATCTATCTCACACCTCTAGGTCTATTCTTTCTACACCAGGGATCTCTCCATCTCCTTTCTTTCGCTTTTCTCTCCCTCGTTCGTCTATACCTCTATCGCTCTGCCTCTCTCTAGCTGAAGTTCTCCCGAAACGCTGCCAACGCAACGCCCTTTTCCCGCAACACGGCCTTGGCATCCCCGTTGACCCCCTCCACCGGCCCACGCTCAAATGTGAAGACCTCCTTGACGCCCAGGCTCTCGAGGTAGTTAACGTTGCGCTTGTAATTCGTCGCGACCTGTGCGATGCCGTGGCTGTCGTCTGAAAACGTGAAGCGTCCGCCCATCGCCAACCATGCCTGTCCGTATGCAGAGTCAGTTGCAAAAGTCATTGACAATGGCCCTGCCATAATTCCCAAAAACGTTGGGAGAAAGAGCAGGGAAGAAAAAAACGGGAACGAGTCAAAAAGAAGACTCACCTCGGCAATAGGCCGACACGGATAAGGCTCATCAAGACCCTTCCTCAACGCACTGCTATTACACTCCAACAAACCTCCATACCCCTTCACAACCTCCAAGTTCCTCGCAATCTTCTCCCACACCCCCTTCCACAACCTCACATCCCGCCCCGGGTCCTCGCTCATCAGCCGCACGAGGTCAAAGTGCCCCACCACCCGCGGCTCCAGCGCCGTCAGCATCTCGTGCTGCTGGTCGTAGTACCGCGCGTACATGGTCTCCTCGTCGGGGCCGGCGGACTTCATGGCCTCGACGTACATGTCCCGGCTGTAGTCGATGGGGATGGCGTTGACGTGGTGCAGGGACCCGATGAAGTAGTCCACCGCCGGGTGGGACGCGAGGGACTTGATAAAGGGCCCGTAGGCCGGGCGGTACCATTCTCCCTCGAAGCCGATGAGGAGGTCGATCTGCGGGGCGTACTTTTCGCGCAGGCGCTGGGCTTCGGTGAGGTAGGCTTCGTGGCGGGGGGCGAGGACGGAGAGGGCTGTTTGGGGGTCTCCCTCTTCGAGCTGGGGAAAATTGTCAGGATTCAGTCTCGATGTTGAAGAAGATGATGGGGGTTGGAGTGTTTACCTCTTCAGGGTAGAGATCTCCGATTTCTAGACGGGGCATGTGTTCCGTCAGACCCATGGTCTTGTAGCCGATGCTGATGGCATGCTGGACGATGGCCTCGAGCTGGTCCTTTGCGTGGCCGGGGCAGAATTGCCCCGAGTGGGAGTGCATTGTGAAGGCCATGGTGAGTTGATGAGTTGTATTGTGTATTGGTTGGTCTAAGTGAGAAGAAAATGAGATGAGATGAGATGAGACGAACTCGAAGGTGAGTCAGGTCCCGATGCTGGCCAAAGTCGCAACACGCTGGTGACGTAGTTTTGAGCGATGGCAAATGAAGATTGCGCAATTTACCACTTCTCACAATTTCAGTCAGCGGTGAAAGCAAGTCTAAGATGGACAAGAGATATTCTAGATCGACATGTACAACAAGACTCGAGTATCTCCGATCACTTCAAGATAAGAGGTCAATCGGCCGACCTGGGATGCGTAAAACAGGCGCTGTAATCGGTTGGTTCCCCACCAAAGAAAATTTCGGGGCCCGACGGGTGGCCGCAGCAAATCGCTGACGTTGATCCGTCCACGTTGACGCGCATAATCCCGCTATATCGAGTCTCCGCGTGCCAAGGCTTTCGCCGCATCTGCGGACGCCCACCAGGTTACAATTAGATCTCGGAACCATGTCACGAATGATGGAGATTTTGACCAATCATGGCTTTACGTCAAGAACATCCCCCAATTGCTTCAGTGGCAAGTTCGAGATATATAATTAGGTACAAGAAAAGAGGGTTGTAGTATCCATAAATGGACAGAGAGAAAGAATCAAAAGGCATAACGCGGACGGGGAGGGTATCAAGACGGCGAACTCCGAGTTTGCGGCTCACAAAGCCATATTCGCAGGAAACAAGGTTCTATACTTAAGGAGACGTGATGGGCAAAGGGGGCGAAACAAAAAATGACTTTTCAAGGACTGTGAGATCCCAAATCTGTATCAGCGCTCCAACCCCTTCTCGGATTGTAGCACTACACACTATTGCCTCTGCGGAGTTTCCGGGATGTCCCAGACCGACTTTGCCGGCTCCTCCGGGTCGGTCTTGACTGCCGGCTCTCTCTTGAGCTCAGACGGAGCACTCATCCCCGGCGGCGCGAAAGGGATGGCAGACGTGGAGGTGAAGACTGGCAGATCCGCTCGCATCATCTTCACCGGAGACTTCTTCATAGGCGATGGTTTGGCTGACGACAACTTGGCTGGTGATGGCTTAGACGGCGAAGATTTGACGGGCGTGTTGGTATTGGGCGGCATCCACTTCAGGGGTTCTGACGGCGTTACAGACACAGGAGGGGGGCCCTCCGGCTGATAGTTGATGAACACGTCCGAGCCTGAGGGCGTCACAACGATCGGCGACATCGCGGCGGGTGAGCTGGCAGGGAGCTCTACTGAGCGGGGATCAGGGGTGGCAGCGAGAGGCATTTGCTCGGTCACTGGAGTTGACACTTCCGGCCGGCCTTCTGGGACAGCAGGCGGTGACGGGTCTCCAAACACCAGAGGCTGCGTCGGCGGTGTAGCAAGAGCGTCGTCTTGCGGAGGTGTGACGATCGGAGGTGCCACCGGCGAGGAAGCCTTCTGAGCTTCAAATGGGAAACTCTGCTTTGCTTCTTCGGTTGTGGGCGGTGTGGCAGTTTTGGCTTGGGCGCCTTGAGCTGCTTGAGCTGCCTGAGCTGCTCTGGCTCGCTCTTCTTTCTGCGTCTTGGTGATCAAGTTGATCTTGACCTTCTTCATACCGGCAGTCAACTTGTCCATGTCGTCCTCGGATGTAGCAGCTGGGCTCGGTTTCCTTTGAGGCGGCTGTGATGGCCCAGTCTGCTGGGGAGGAGATGGCTTCGCTGTTGCGGCAGGCTTCTTCACAATTCTTGTAGTTTTCGGGGCATCCTTCTTGACTGCGGGAGCCCTCGTCTTTTTGACGTTCAGGGATGTAGCGCTCTGAGTTCTGACGCTCATCGCTGTGTCTGGTCGCACACTCATAGAAGTGTCCGGACGCTGAGCTGGAACTCCGGGGCCCTCGAAATCTGGGTTGGGAGCATTCGCAGCCACAGTAGGCACGCCACTAAGGCGTCGACCGGGTCGCTTAGCTGCTCCATTTGTATCAGAGGGTATACCTCGAGCCGTTGCCTAGTAGTGACGTCAGTTTGAGTCTCGTTGAGATACTGCAAGGAGTGACAAACCTTCTCCGATGATAGCGCAGCAGGGCCCGCAACCGTCCTCCGTCGATTATTTGACTGCTTTTCATCGTCATCGTCTGCATCAACGTACAAGCCAGGCTTCGCTGGCTTGCGTTCCCTCAGAGACATCCGCGAGGTTGGTCTGCTTGCTGGCTTCGGCTTCGGCGCAGGAGCAGGCGCCGGCGGCACAAGATCAGGGTTAATAATCGACTGTCGGTCTCTCCGGGCCCTTGTCGCCTCCGCGTTCAAGTCTTCAGGCTGGCAGCTGTCGACTTGGCGATCTGACGGGATGAGTAGCCTGCTCAGCTCATGGGCTGCTATGGTCCATGGCACATCAGGGGGAGGCGGTGTTGCTGGTCGCGAATATGGCATTCCATTCGACAAGCCTGAGGCCATCCGCCTCATCCTCGCCGGATCTATGGACTTACCAATCGATGCTTGTGTGGGAGTTGAGTATGTGGGCGGGGTTGAGTGCCGTATCATTTTCGGGCTGGCTGGTCTGTTGCCCATCGCAACTTCTAGCTCGTCGAGTTCGGAGCTCGACCACCAAGACGATTTGTAAGGGTGCAGTGATGGTTCGCCAGCAATGGTTGCTGCAATCTGCCCTGCCATTTCGCCACCGAGCGAAGAGCGACCCCGAATAGGCTCTTCCGGTGGTGTCTGATTGCCTGAGAGTCCGCTCAGATGGCTGAAGATGCCAGAGTAAAGAGCTCGGTCACTGTAACCACCCTCAAGCACGCTGATAACGCGCCCATCAACCCCCAGACCTTCTTCTGCGGCAAGCTTCACCACATCTTGAGCAATACGAGCGTAAAACTCGGTGGGAACGTTCACATTATGACGTTGCATACCCTTCGTCTCCCATTCACTAGCATCGAATCCAGCCGAGAAGAAGATTGCCGCCTTAGGAGGCAGATTGAGAGCGCGCACACGAGCTGCTTGGTTTTTCAGATACTTGCGCGTCTTCTCGATGATAACTGAGTATCTGGACTCGTAGAGTTCCCAGAACTCCTTCTCTGAACCATACGATTCCAGGTGAACATTGTAGATGTTTTGGCCGTGGGCATTGTCGATACACAGACTGGCGTTCTTGACCTTCTCCTCATCACCCCACTCACAGGGGTACGAATTGATGTCATGAAGACTAAAGTAGCCGATGGACGCCTTCTTCCAAGCTGCCGTGTTCTTGGCCGCATTCACTCCTCGTGAATTATGCGCCCAAGTAATGGCTTGGGAGCCATCTCCATGGTGAAGATCGAAATCGATGATGGCCGCATGGGTAAGACCGTGGTTTAGAATACCATGCATAATTCCAACATGGACGTTGTTAACCCAGCAAAACCCCGAAGGAAAAGAAGCTGAGCAGTGATGTCCCGGCGGACGTACAGCGACGAAGGCTCGTCGAGGACCCGATGTGAAAACTCGGTCTACGGCTTCGCAGACGGCACCCAGCGCACCCTCAAAGGCCTCGAGCGATTCTGAGCAAAGATAGAGGTCACCCTCGTGGAACTTTGCGGGCGGTCCGTCCGATCCCCTGTTTAATTCTGGCCTCTGAAGCTCCTTCCCACCAGTCGCCAGTTTTATCTCTGCTCCTTCACACATCATCTTGAGCTCCTCCATCCACTTGGTACCGTGGACGTTGGTGACGGCCGCCGATGTCAGGGGCAATCTCCGCTCGGTCTTGTAGATGCGAAACGGAATCGTCGGAATAGTGGAGGGATCTAGACTTGGATGCAGCGCATATGCGCCATCGCAGTGCCGTTCACCGAGTCGCACGTAGGCCATGGCAACTCCCAGAACCCCGGCCTTGATTCTCTCAGGCCGCTCAACGATGGTGCTGAGGGCACCCTTAGAGGTCTTGGGTCGGGAGAAACGGTGTCCGTAGCAGGCATCGTGGAGGATGACGAGGGTCTCGGTCGCCCGAGTCGAAGTTGGTGAGTGGTGAACCTCTAATTCGGTCTTGAAGTAATCGCGGGCGACTGTAGTCGCTGTAGGCGCAGGCTTGATGTACTCAGGGGGGCTCGGTCGCAAAGGGGATTTTGAGACCGGAGATGAGGCATACACCATGCTAGTCCGCCTCGATGGCGCTCGGCTGGGCGTTCGGCTTGAGGAGCCACTCACAGAGTGCAAGGAACTCGTGGAGGTTTTGCGTTGAAGTGTTGGTGTTGAAGAGCGCTGCAGCGTCGGCGTCGAAGATCTGGACCGGGAGAGCTCCCTCGCAAAGGAGGGACTTCGAGACGGGGCTCGAGGACTCGGTGCCGGAGATGTTCGATTTACGGCCGGTCTCATCGGAGACAGGGCGCTCGAGGCCCGGGGCGAGTTGCTAGCCGACGACGTCGAAAGAGACAGCTGCTTGAGCGAATGCGCCAGGTCCTTGTCCCCATCATGGGAGGATGTATTCAGTAGTGATGGGCGCCGCGATGGCGCTCTGTCGAATGGAGAGGCCATGGTAGAGGCGCAAGACCCATGAAATACTGCGTGGTGTCTCGGATGAATAAAATGGTTCGGGAAAACAACAATGTGAGAAGCCGGTAGCGAAGGAGAGTGTCTTGAAAGCGTAAAGATTTGGGTAAGTGCGGTGTGTAGGTAGCTGGTTCTGGTAACTTGCAACTGGCGGCAGGGTAGGTGGTGGACAGGGGACTTTACGTATTAGTTGACCGCCCGCCAGCACATCGTCACAGTTGTCACTTGTCAGTCGCGTCCGTTGTGTGTACACAACACGCGTCATAAGGTGCATAATTGCGATCACGTGGAGATCAACAAATAGGGGATGCGCGGGGCATTTCGCCTGATCCCGCTTGGGCTGAGAGAAGCGCAGGCGCTACCGATTCAAGTGGGGTTCGGACGATACCATGTGGGGGGGCACGATCGTCACTCCCTCGTGCAATGCAACGTCCACAGTCAACCGTTCACTGACACCCAACCAACGCCCTTTTCTCCAAGAGCTTAATATTTTTCGACGGGCCTCCGCAGACAACAACAACACAACCCTATATCACTAATGCTGTGTTGAGGATCTATCAGTATAGTTAAATGCACGAAGATATCCCAAGAAGAATACCTCAAAAATCATCCATGCCATCACCGCAAGATTGGATTCGAGCAGAACATGGCAATGAAAAAGGGGACCGAAACAGATCATCTAAAGGAGTACCGCTGATTTAATCTTAATATTTTTCGACTACAAACCGATTACATAAGTATTTAAAAAAGTCATTGGGACTGACAAAAGAGTTCACCCCCCCGGTGCTGGACTGGGGGCTACATCTCTTGGTGCTCATGCTGGGAGTCGAACTCGGTACTCGTATGCGCTTAGCCTGTCGTCGAGTAGGCTGGTTGGCGAGTCGCTTATTGACCATTAACCACTCCACCATCCAGCCAGTTTGACCTGACCTGTCGACCTAGACGGGCGCCTGCTGGCTGGTGAAAGGAATGGGTTTGAGGGGGTATATGAGGGCTTCTCATCCCATGTGTGGAAGGTGCGCCTCAGGTCACCTGCCTCTTGATGACGGGAAGGAAAGAGAACGCCTCCTTCCTGCTGGGAGAGGTAGAATACGGAGGCGATGCGCCGCGTTGACCAAGCCTACATCAACCTCGATCAGCGAAAATATACACCCACGAACCTGGACGGCCTTCTTACGCTTCTGGGTACATAGAGATCGCTTGTGAGCAGGCGCCATAACGGCTTCACATGAGATAATGCATTTCATTGACATACCGTTCGTTCTTGACGAGCTTTCCAATTGGGTATCATATCGTCGCTTAATGAATGTGTTTGATAGAGTAAAATGAATGAATAAGAGTACGGATAGATCCTTGCACCGTCTCACTGGTTCATCAATCGTTTGATTGCCCACTTTATACTCAGTACGCCGGAGCCGCATACGAGGATCCAGTTGCTTGGAACCGAGATTGACAGGGCAAGGGACGCTAAGACATCCGTTTGGTTCAATGAACGGTAAGGCAATGCCACTGTGCAAATCTGAATATTATGCTTACATATGCTCATACCCATCCACTTTGGGGATTCTGCCTCGCTTGCCCCCTTTTTGCAGATGAATGACCTTGAAGCTTCTGTTTGGTCCTCTGTTCTGTCCCCTGTCTTCCCGGCGACTTATGCAATCTCCACTGCCATGGCCAAAGGCTAATTTCAACTCCCTCGGTCCTTGGGCCATGGTTCTCATCTTCGGCCCCTCATACTTGCTCCGAGAATGGTTCCACTCGGGCCGCTGTTCTTCGGACATAAAGCTGCGCCTACCTGCCGCAAGTGCTAGTCGCTACTGCCATGCGCGCCTTAGTTTCGTCTAAGTGTATGACTGTTGCAGTCTCAGCAGGAGAACAAGAGGTCAACAGCGTGTTAGACAGAGGGGCTATATTGGCTTGGTCGGCAGTCTGGTGCTTTCCCAGAGTCCTTGGCTAGGTAACGTAGCGTTGCGATACTCCACTCTTGGTATCAAACACCTACAGAAGAGGTGGCATCGAGCCTCTTTCGTATGCCTTGATCACACCGTGCTATAAGATCGAGTTACTGCGGTACAAGGTCTTACAACAGCAAAGACAACAGCCGTTGATGGCCATAGAATTGGAACAGAGGTCTATCTGCCTACAAATAGACTCGCACCACGATCGAAAGGAAACGGCCAATCCAGGCCATGGAGGTCTGTTTCCCACCCTGCTGCCACAGAGTTTGGATGCCGAGTGATTCACTCCTATAGCACAATAGGTTTCAGTACCACCTGGTAAGGCTGTCTCTGTGGGAGTGAATGAGGTCTCTCTCTCTCAAAAAAAAGGAGACCGCCTGACATCTGAACAGCCTACGGACAGGAAAAAAGATTGGCATCGTAGTTGTTTCCTTTGAGATAGACTTCTCTGTTCAAGGACAAAGACGACAACCAAACATAAAAACGTTTTGAAAACCTCGACATTCGAGCATCTTTACCTCGGGAGCAAAAAGACAAAATCAAAACACACAGCATGTCTCAATCATCACTTGAAATACAGGCCAAGAACGTCGCCTCAGTCGACGACGTCCTCCAGCTTGCAGAGCACATTCTTGCTCCGACCATGGGCGAAGTAGAGCAGACTTTGCGGCCCTATATCGTGGCTGTGCTAGATTGCATCCTCGAGGAAATTCCTAAGAACATCCCAACGGAGCAAGACAACACAACGAAGGGCTTGGATGAGAGCGCGCATACCTTCAGCCTGGAGGATACTCCCGAGATTGTGGAGAGATTCAAGAACTTCATCCTTCGGTTTGAGATGATCGATAGGCTGGCCCAACAGCCCGGATATGTACGTACTTCACCATCTTTTCGGGAGTTCAAACCTTATGCTCGTGAAATTGATGCTAATTCTCGCCTAGAACGCGCAGGCTGAGAAACGGCAAATCGAGGCCTATGTAGAGGCTGGCCACCTCAAGGTGCTCATGGGCCGCGTCTTTGACGCCATCATCTCGGATGCCCACGGGCAACTATCGCCTCAGACATCTACCCAAACCGTAAAATTGGCGATATCTCGAGACAAGATTCACCGGCGGGGCAGTGTTGAGGGCTGGCCCATGCCCCGCCTGGCTAGAGAGAATGCCGACGTTGGTAAAGGCACGGTAGTGTCTTCTGTGCATTCGCATGGAGAAGGTGCCACTATTGATGGAAACACGGATGCCTCTGAGGTACTCGAGCAGAAGGGTGCAAATCACCTATTCTTCATAAAAGGTTGAGGACGACACCGAGCACTCCACGCATTCAGTTCATTGGAGACATAGAATCCTCTGCATAAGAGGCAGACTCAGTCCCGGTTTGGAAGCTCCGAGTGAAGCGGCAGTCCAGCCACTAAAGTAAGGCTCAGTCGGACTCGGGGCGAGCAAGCCTTAGTTTGATGGATCGTAGGGTGTCGGTCAACATCAAAAAAGCCAACATCGGCGACGGGGGGTTGCCTATTCATTCGTTATCGCGCCATTCTTCCCTGCTTCACTCTCTCACAAGAGATAAAGAGCAAGAGAAGGGTCGCAGACCAGCAGCACAGACAGGTTCTAGGAAGCTCAGTCAGTAATATTGACCAATAACAAACAATCACTGGTTTTCGTCAGACTTTTCATCTTCAACGTGAGACAATTTTGATGACAGCCCTGTGTTTACTCGTTTATTAAATCGACCCCGACTCTCTTCAGTGACACTACAGCCCACTCTGGATACTTTGACTTGTCGTAGTCGTAAAGATCGCCAAAGAATTGCCTGATAAGAGCGGGGTACCTATCTTCGATGACAGCTTGCCGGATCTCTCTCATGAGATTCAGCTGATACCAGACATTGTGGATGCTCAGCAAGTGAGCAGCTACCGTTTCCTTGCCCGCGTTGTGGTTGATGAAGGCCCTGGTCACACCCAGAGCACCCTCGCCCTTCCGGCAACAGATACAGCCACATCCTTCCTCAATAGGGCCGTAGTCGTTCTCATATCGCCAGTTGCGAATATTCAGCACGCCGTGCTTCGTGATTGCGTTGCCGAACCGGGCCGTCCGCGTCGGCCAGACACAGTCGAACATGTCTGCTCCCAGGGCAACGCTCACAACCAGATCCTCTGGGTATCCGATACCCATGACATATCGAGGCTTGAGGTCCGGCAGCAGCTCCGTACACGTCTCGACAACACGGCAGTAATCCGTCTTGGCCTCGCCACCACTCAGACCACCAATGGCGATGCCCGGGGTATCGCGCGCTAACATCTCCCGTGTGCATTCCCGTCGCATTTCGAGATCGAGGCCGCCCTGAATGATGCAGAAGAGGTTCTGAGTATTGGGATTCTTGTGCGCTGCGATGCACCGATCCAGCCATCTTACACTCCGCTCCATAGCCTCGCGCATACGGGCTGCATCGGGGGATGTCGTGACGAGGACGTCGTCGAGCTGCATCATGATGTCGCTTCCGATCGAGTTCTGCAGAGACATGGAGTGCTCTGGAGTCAAAAGCATAGGCGAGCCATCGTGGGGGCTGAGGAAGCGTACACCCTCCTCGGTGATCTTGGCCAACTTGAGCAGACTGACCATTTGGAAGCTGTAAACACGGTTAGTATTCGACCAAAGCCCTTCACGGTTCAGTTCGAAAGGTATATGTACCCTCCACTATCCGTCAAAAGATTGTGTTTCCATCCTTGGAGCTTGTGCGCGCCGCCGATCTTATCCAGTACATCTTGCCCAGGCTTCAAGCCGAGATGATAGGTGTTGTTTAAGCACAGGCGGCAGCTCGTCTCTTCGAGCTGCTCGGGAGTCAAGCCTTTGAGCGAAGCTTGTGTCGCAACAGGCATGAATATCGGAAGCTGGACCGGGCCATGGGGAAGCGTCAGGATGGATGCGCGGGCTCTCGTTGTCTAGCCTAAACGGTTAACATGCGGACTTGAATCATATGAAGATCTTGTGAGTCAGGGCTTACTGAACAGCGAGCGACGAGCTCAAAGGTGAGAGCGGGCGAGGACCCTACATTGGTTGATGCCATCCTTTTCGCTATCCACATGGGCGATCGCGCAGTCCACAGGCTGCTGGTTGCGATGTGGGAGGAAGTGGAAAAGGGCTGAGTGCGGGTTGGTGAAATGCAATTCTCCAAATTCGAACCGCTAGACGATGCGCTTTCCCATCGGCGTTGGTGGGGCCGTTGAGCGTCACTCCTTCCGAATGTCCCTTTAGCTGCCTAGACCGCACCTAGGTATGTACCTGATCTTGGAATACCTTATCTTATACGTGCCTGAGTAACTAATCCCTCAGCAATTTTGTGCAAAGGTTTCTAGCTGTTTTGACAGTTGCAAAATAACTATTTCCTTACTTGCGTAAAAGTTCTTTGGCCTTCTCTACTACTTTGTCACCTCTGAGACTGGTGGGCTAGCGTCTTCTATCCCTTAAAGGCTTAGAGTGTGCAACAGAACAGACATGGACATTTCGGGTGACTGTGGAGAGAAGCAGGAGAAGCGACAGGGGTAGCTCTCATCCAATCAGGCACCACCGGCTTCTTCCGTACTCCAATTGAAATTTCTCACGCAACGCTGCTCTCCCGTCACCATTTCGCGATACATACGACTGACGACGACTAAGCTCAGTAGAGAGCTTTAGAAGCCGCCATGTCCGCTCGAATGTCGCCCGGAGGGGCGCTCCTGAGATCATCTCGGATGTTCTCTGTGCCCAAGCCGCTCCCACAACCTGGAGGCCAAGCAGCTGCCATCGCTCGATACGCATCCCCAACAGCGACCGCGCCTTATCCTACGCACCAATCCATCACCACCACCGAATCCTCGAGGGCCCTTGGTGACTGGGGCCTCAAGCGCTCCCTGCCTCTTCGATCCACGACCAAGTCATCGACTCCCGTCATTCGCATCAAGGACATCGACTGCTTCGAGAACGTCACCGATTACACCTCCGCTGCAGACCATACCTTGTCTCTTCAGAAGTTCCACGAGCTCAACCTGCCCGTCTCACTACCTGGTACCAACCGGTCGCGTCTTGGTGGCATCAACGGCGGAGCGAAATCTGTATTCGAAGACGATGGCGACTTCACCACAGTCAAGCGTGATGGCGTGAACGAGGAGAAGAGGTGGAAGTTCCAGGGCCCCTGGTTGGCTGGCCTTACCGAAGGCGAGTTCAACACATACCTGCGCAAGGCTGTCCGCAACAAGCGCGCATCATTCCGCGGCTTCTTACGGAAGCGTATCGCATCAGAGGAAACGACCAAGCAGCACCAGAAAGCCTTGGAGGCTGGAGAAACTGCGCCCAAAGCCGTTAGTGCTGGCAACGTCACCGAAGAGCAACTTACAGAGTACATTCGCAAGTTGCGTAACGACCGCATCACCTTGTACTCGCTTGTTGGCGAATTCTTGGATCTCGCTCCCCTGAATCCGCCCAGTTCCTTGGCCGACTTCAGCAGGTTGACGGAGAAGACCAAGCGCCCCAGCTTGTACGCTGAGCATGGCCCGCCGGCTTCTCACCCCTCTGGTGGTATCTCATACCTCCGTACATCCAACTTCGCCGAGAACCACCCAGTATACGGACCTCAGGCGCAACACACCCCTGTCCTGGCACGAATCGTTGCTCCGAGATCAGGAGCCAACAGCGCCAAGCTGGGTGTCGGTGGTTTCATCACGGATGTTCCCCAGGGCGACACCGCTTTCAACCACAGGGCTTTCGTTGGACGCAACAACAAAATTGCTGGTGTCGTCACTTTCGATCCCGATATCAAGGGAGGTGCCAAGGCCTACGTTTCACCCTCCTCAGCTCGCGTAGACTCAGACGGTTCTATCCAAATCACCGTCAATGAGGCCAATGAAGAGGCTCAGCTCATTCTGAGGGAGTTGGTTGGAAAGGCCAAGATCTACAACGACAAGACCGAGGTAGAGGCGCCCGCACCCGCCCGCAGATTCATCCGAAATGTGCGAGTGGACAACAAAGAACTCGGGGCCAGCGCGGTGGGTAGCTCCAAGAGCTATGGTCTTGACTCTTGAGGGTGGTGAAGATGGCGTTTAGAAGCGCTTCCGGTCACAAGACTGCGCGCGAATGAGCCTCAGACAGCGGAGCATGGAAGTTTGTGGCATTAAAACTCCATCTGTGTATGGCGTTGGCATCTGAGCCGAGTGTACTATGTATGGTATTGTAAAATAAGAAGAATACAACGCAAATTTCGACGCTTTTTTTTTTTACCGTCTATGATCGCCAAGGGACTGTCGTGCTATCTAGCCTAGCTACCTCAGCTTGGTGCCATACTTAGGTGCACCTGGCCCTCAGCAAAAGGCCAGGATGTGTCTTGGAAAATCCAAACATGCTTATTCAAGAGCTGGAAATGACGGGAAAATAGTCAGAAATACTGAGCATCTTTAATTCGGTCCGCGAATACCTAATGTCCTGCACCGTGATCGGCTCCGTACCGAAGGACAAATCCCGATCCGGGTCCGAGTGGGGTGCTTCCAAGTCCCCACTTACAGCCATCTGTAAGATCACGTGTGCTTACATACACATGCCCCGATGGCCTGTGCACCAAAATTCCCGCGCCCCACACCACGGCCCTAAATTTCGTGTAAAGATATCAAAATTGCATCTGCTCAGCGGAACTTGTCGTGAACATCTCGACCGACCAGCCTCACTAACCGACCAACTCCCTCCACCCAGCCAAATCACCCCCCCTCCGTTGAGTCAGTACCGCCAAAATGGGTCGCGTTCGCACCAAGACTGTCAAGAAGTCCGCCAAGGTCATCATTGAGCGGTACTACCCCAGACTCACCCTGGACTTCGAGACCAACAAGCGCATCTGCGATGAGATCGCCATCATCGCCTCCAAGCGCCTCCGCAACAAGGTCAGCAGAGAAGCACACCAGACACGCGAACGGAAGACGAGAGGTCACATCGGTGTCGGGAAGGGGGAAAATGCGAGGACAAAATTGCTGACATTGGAGTGAAATGTGCAGATTGCTGGCTACACCACCCACTTGATGAAGCGTATCCAGCGTGGTCCCGTCCGCGGTATCTCCTTCAAGCTTCAGGAGGAGGAGCGTGAGCGCAAGGATCAGTTCGTCCCCGAGGTCTCCGCCCTCGACTTCACCCAGAACACCGAGAGCGGCCAGCTCGAGGTCGATGTCGAGACCAAGGACCTGCTCAAGCACCTTGGCGTACGTTCACATCCCTCAACCTCAACTCCTCCACTAGAAAGGGCACTCAATACTGACTATTTGCCTTCCAGTTCGACGCTATCCCCGTCAACGTCACTCCCGTCGGCCAGACCCAGGTCCAGGAGCGCGGAGGCCGCTTCGGTGGCCGCCCCCCTCGCCGCGACTAATTTTCAGTCGTGGTCGATTGTGGTTAAGGAAAATTTGGTGGGTTTTAACGGACTTTTACGGCAAACGGCATATGATGATACACATTGCTACAGGCGTCTTACGGACGGTAGTGAGTTCACACTAGGAACTTCCACAAAGAAAAGTTCTGTTTTCCCACACAAGGTGTCGCCGATTCTCTAGGGTAATTCCGGAGATGACGCTTGACTGCCAATTGTCAATCCCTCCTCTCGCATACCGTGATGCTGTCCCTCTGACCTTGTACCTCTACTGGGAGCCTCGCGTCGAATCGCAGACAGGTTCTCTCGCTAGGACTGTTATGCATGAAGTGATGTAATGTTGGTATCGGTGTGCCTTTGGGTATCAAATCTATATAGAGCAACCGATCACTGCAAAGCCTAAATGAGCTCCTCCACGCTCCAACTATCTCTGGTATCCCACCACCCGTAAAACGACATCATGTCATATCTTGGTCACGTTGTGCTTCAAATTGGGACGCCTCGGCGATGGCTTGCGCCTTACCAGCTCCCGGCCTGTGGCCCTCAACAAACAAATGGGCATCGTCTGGATCTCCAAACACGCCATGCTCTGTCGGTGGCTTGACCTCCCTCTCACGGATGGCAAGAGTGAAGGATTTGCCTGGCTGTCCCGCCTCCCGCGTCTCTCCTCTTTCCAAGGCCAATGTGGCAGATTCGTCAGCCGCCCTTCTACCGTCCTCCAACTTCAAACCTGCGAGGTCGCGCGAAGCCTGTGTTGCAGGGTCCTCCTGCCTCGCCTTTTCCTCTCCATACAGCTCGATCTCAATATCAGGCAAGCCAGCCCGCTCCCACGCAGCCGACTCGTTGAGCTGCACCTTGATGTACATCGCCCTGCGCTGGCAGTCCTTGGAGCACCACTTCTCCGACTCCTTGCGATTGACGATATCAAAATCGGCCTTGCCAAAGTTGACGAGCCTCCACTCGCCACCCTTCGAGGCCATCGGCTTCGGCTGCGCGCAGAGGGTGTACCCGCACAAACCATTGACGTTGCGCTCCTCGATGAGGTCGTCGTAGTCGGACGGCTGGAAGAGGCGGATGTTGGCCTTAAAGTCGGCGACGTCGCGCGGGGACGGGTTGGCGGCGGAGAAGGTTCTGCTGCCGCGCTCGGTGGGGTACTCTGAGAGCTCGGCCAGGCTCTCGAGAATCTGGAGCTCGAGGTCCTTGCGCTGCTGAATGATGCGGGCGTGCTGGAGGGCGATTTCGCGGGGGTCTTGTTTTCGGGGGTTGAGGACGGCGTTGGCGGCGCTGCTGCCGGAGGCGGTGGCTCCGGCTGCTGCCTTTTTGAGGATGCCCTTCAGTGGCCGGGCATCGGTAGCCATGGTGGATGTTGTGGTGTACGTGAGGTAGTTGCGAGAGGGGTTGTGAGCTGGTCGCCTTGCTAGCCAGTGCGCGCAGTGCGTCCTCGGAGTGCCCGGTGAGAGCTTGGAGCTCGGCGATGCAAGGTGAGAGGGCCTTAAAAGAGATGGATTTGTGGTGAGCGGAGGTGAAGTGTTGTTGTGGCTACGCGTGTGAGACAGGCTGGAATTAAGGCACGAAGTGAGGTGGTGAAAGTGAATTGAAGATGCGAACAAATGAAAATTGTTAAGCAGTTGGAGAATGTTCGATTCCGCAGCTGTTGCCGGGAATAGACACCCCACACTTCACAGCAAGAGCCCAAGAGCACTCCTAATCGAGAATTCGGTGTTATTAATTAAAGTAGGCAAAAACACAAGCTGAAGCACCAGCGCCGGAATACGTACTTCGCACCTCCTGGCACCACCCGGCTCGCGCCACGATTGAGGGGGACCAGCCGCCAAGACTTCGACACTCAGGCACGCTGGTCTGACCTGGCGCTTTGCTGGCGAGAGTGTGCCAGTGTGGCTCGGGGTGCTCGGGTGGCTTGAGCGGCCGTAACTCCGTCCTCTGCCTCCCAAGTTCCATTTCCCCCCTCCATTTCCATTTGTTCCCCATGTCCGCCCGCGGCCCTCTTGCCCCTCGACTGGACTTCTCGGGAGCATTTCGATTGGCTCGGGCGGCTGAAGAAACGTAGCGCATCTTCCGTCCGCTCTCACACCTCCAACACTGGACTGGTTTGACTGTTTGACCTCGTGTTGACACCAGGCTTGCACTGCGCCACCATCGAGTGACCTTGTTCAAGCTCCTTCAGGTCATTCAGCAATGCACTAACATTGTTCCATTGCAGTACCACGTTGACTGTCCAATGCCTGGGACTGGCCTTGCCGGCTTACCTCAACTTGACCTCACACTGCAGTTGCCATGAAGGTTAGGTGCCTAACCTAGCTATTCCATTACCTCGATCTGCTTCTTTAGGGAACCCTCTCTAGCCAACCACGAGCTCTGTGAGGTACCAGCTGGCCGTGCCACATGCGCCTGATCTATATTGGTCTTGCCGTTGTTCCCGTTTGTCACTGTAGGGTGTCGATGTTGCTAGTTCAACCTCCGCAAGGGCATAGTATGGGGTGCAGCATTGTGAAGTGTTGCAGCTTACGGTGACGGAGTTCCAACTTTTCGAGAATTCTCTGAGAAAGCCAGCCGAAGGGCACAATGCAGACGCAGGCGGCAAATGAGATGCGACAGACTTCTCTGCCCGCTCTTTGGACGACCGTTGTGGTGAACCCCTGCCCTTAGCACCGTGTTGCATCGCCTACCGCTTGATATTGGATATGAATCTCCGAGGCAAACATAGTTCAACTCATCGGCGACGAAAGAGCTAGGAACACAGTAACCATTTGTGTAGAAGAAGAAGGACACGCACACTACTAGACTAAGTGTTCGTAAAGTGTACTCAAATCCAGGGTTGCACTGTGTCTAGGCAGACGCATCCTACCCGAAGAGCCCATCTCACACACCCGCATCGCGCATTGCGGCTCCAGAGTACCCAATATGCACCGCATCCAACCCCAAAACCTAGCTTACCTTAGGTACGACACTCCAAGGCAAGATGAACAAAGAGACACAGCAAAAGAGAAGGCATTTGTCAACGGGGTGTCTGGGGCTGCATACATGACTCTTGTGTTCGCATAGTGCAGACTTCCCAGGCAGGGCCCCCAATTGCCCCGACACATTGAACTAAGAGAGTTACAAGTTCATGCGCTGACGTCGACACGCCAACTTGTAGATCCCTCCACCCCCGTCCGTCCTTTCCTCACAGCCTCCTTCTCCGACCGACCCCCCTTCCTCCCCCTCGCTCAGTTTGAGAAACCGCCAGCGCAGTCGCAACCCGCTCAACCACACCGTCATCGTCCACCTTTGACATTTTGTTTTTTTCCTTACCCTCACGGGCTTCGCTTCGCACATCGCCGTCGCTGATGCTGTTGCTACTGCCCCGAATCTGACCTCTTGTTTTCGGTCGCAGCTCCTAGTATTACTGCGTACTCCTACTGCTGCTGCTGCAACCAACAGCCCACGCAAGGTCCAAGCTGCTGACGACGTTCCGATTCCGTTGCCCCACACCCTAGAGCTCCAGCGTCGCTCGCTCTAACCTGCGGCACCCAACTCCTCTTTCGACCGTCCAGGTGTTCGCATCCCACAAACAAATCGACAACAAGCCAAGCCGACGACAACGACGATATCGACGAAGACGACGGACTATCCCGATCACTGCCGGCCATGTCGACCGCCCCTTTCAGGGTCAAGGCCCTGTTCGAATACTCCTCGCCCCACGATGATGACCTCCAGTTCCCCGCCGGCGTCATCATCACCGTGACGGACGAGGAGGATGATGACTGGTACACTGGCGAGTACGTCGACGACTCTGGCGCCAAGCACGAAGGAATCTTTCCTCGCAATTTCGTCGAGAAATTCGAACCCCAGGCCCCGCCTCGCCCAACGAGAACCCGAACCAAGAAAGAGGCCGAGGTCACGTCCCCCGTCTCGGAGGCGCCCGCCCCAGTTCCTCAATCCGAGCCTCAACCCACCAAAGAAGCTCACAGCGAGGTCGAGAAACCCGCGCCGCCCCCCGCCGCTGCCATCTCTGCCTCGCCCGAAGCACCCGCAGCTCCCGAGCCCGAGCCTGTGAAGGCACCTGAGCCAATCCCCGAACCGACCCCGGTTGCTCCGGCTCCCAGGACTGAATCCCCCGCAGCTACGTCGCCTCCCATCGCCAAGGCAGCGCCTGCTTCATCCAAGCCCGGCCCACCGCCCAAGCCGTCCAGCAATGCTTTCAAGGATCGCATCGCTGCATTTAACAAAGCCTCGGCCGCCCCCATTACGCCCTTTAAGCCGAGCGGGCTGGCCCAAGGTTCCTACCACATCAAGAAGCCGTTTGTGGCTCCTCCTCCTAGCCGCAATGCATACGTCCCGCCGCCTACGCAGGCACCGGTCGCAAAGGTCTACCGAAGAGACGAGGACCCGGAAATCTTGGAAAGGGAAGCAGAAGCCCAGGAGAATGCTGAGAAGGCCGGCATGGCTCCTGGTCCTTCTGGTGAAGAGGGTGAAGATGCGCCGAAGCCGACTACGCTGAAGGAGCGCATCGCTCTTCTCCAGAGACAACAGCAGGAACAAGCACAGCGTAACGCCGAGGCTGCTGCGAAGAAGAAGGCTGCACGACCGCCACCTAAGAAGCGTACCGACAGCCAGGAGGCATCTGAGGATGCCGGCGCTGCTCCTGCTCCTGCCCCTGCACCCGAGGCCGAAGCGGAGGAGGTGGCAGGTCGCAGCTCGATAGACTCGGCTCGTATGCCGCCCCCGCCCAGGCGCAAGTCTTCCAAGGGCCCTGCTGCCGAGAGCTACCATGACGGCAATGAAGCGGACATGTCTGGGGCCGGCGACACCGAAGGTCCGGAGGATCTCACCGAACGTGATGACAGCGATGCGGCTCCACGGCCTGTCCCACGGCCTCAGGTCGCCTCACCTATCGAGGCGAGACATGAGGAAGAGGCAACTGATGAGCCGGGCGAAGCCGAAGAAGAGGACGACGATGTTGACCCTGAGGTCCGCAGGAAGGAGGAGCTCCGAGCCAGGAT